TTTTCTTTGTGCTGCGGGGGGAAGACAGAAACGAACGATTGTCTGTCTGTCTGTCTGTCACCACTTTCTCGCTCCGTCTACTTTTTACTGTTGCCTCGGTAAAGCCAATCATTTGGTTCATCCTCCCCACCCCCCTTCCCTTCCTTCCTTATTAAATATTCTTTTCATCCTTTTCTGTAAAAATTGCAAATTGAAGATCTTTTTTTTTTTTAATTGGGTTTGGGCTCAGGAGCCCATGTACTAAAATGGGTCGTGGGTTGAAGCCCAGTTGAAGAAACGCCCTCGTTGTAGCTTTGATGAATCCGTTCCTAGTTCCCACCCTTGGAGGAACTTGCCTTGTCTCTTTTCTCCCCTTATTTATTTATTTATTTTGGACAAGTGACTGTATGTTTGCATTGAATTCGTTCTAGATAAATGGTTGGTTAACTAAATGTGTAAACTAAAAATTGTTGAGAAAAAGATATAAATAAGGATGTGAACTTTATTTTATTTTATTTAAGAATGTTAATTTTATTAGTTTTTAAATAAGGATATCAATTTATAATTTTTTTATTTAATAAGATTAATTTTTAATTTTTTCTATTTAAGGATACAACTTTCAACATTTCAGTTTAAAATTCATTTGTTATGTTAATATTACTATCCAATTAATCCTTAAATAAAAAAATTAAAAATTAATATCTTTATTTAGAAATTAACAAAATTAAAAACGTTCAATAGAAAAAAGCCTAAATTTGATAAATTTGATATCCTTATTTACCTCTTTTCTCAAAAATTGCTAAAAAATTAATTAAATAGTTAGTTATAAATTATTATTAATTTTTTTTAATTTAGTTGGATAGTGAAGATATTTAGTTGTTTAATAGGTTAGAAGATTGAAAAACTCAAACTAAATACGTAACTAAAAAATAAAATTTTATATTAATAAATAAATAATTATTATTTAAATATTATAAACAAACATAAAAATCATCTTATTCAATTTTATTTTTAAGGTTTACTTTATAAATTTTGTTATAATTTAGTATTAAATTTAAAATATATCTAAAAGTAAAAAAAATAAACTTTAAAATTTATATTTTACTTTTGTTTATATCCCTTAAAATATCTAAATTTTGATTAATTATAGTCATTATTAAAGTTAAAATAGGCATTGAATATTAATTTGGTTAAAACTAATAACTAAAATTTTAAAACCAATTATTTTGACTACCAAACCAAAAATTTATAAATATTTTCAGTTTAATTTTAATTAATAAAAATTAAAATAATAAATAATTTACATATTAATTTTAATTAAACCAAAACTAAATCATGCCCGGCCCTAGCCTCAACCACCCTTATTGAAAAGTCTTCCATTTTTTCCTTTTTCTTCGAAAAGAAAATAAGGGTACTCCTTCTCTATGGAAAGGTGGAGGAGTAATCAGCCCCCACTCACTCAAATCACTTGGGTTGGGTACTTACATTGATTAGTAACGTCGTAAACATTTTATTCACTTTTTGTAATCCCAAAAGAGTTGTTGGCTAGCTCCAACTTCAACCATATGTTAAAAATAAAATAACAAAGATTTTGTAATTCCAAAGGATATACGGATTCAAGCATTTCTTTAAAATTGAAAATAACCAATAAATAAGCATAGATTTGATTAAGGTTATTGTGATTATTAAATTAATTATAATTTTATTAGTTTATAAA